GCGCCGGCACTCTCTACATCGCCGAGAGGTGAGGGAGGCGGAACCGGAGCGTGGGGTTACGTTCTCGGGACCCACCTAAGCCTCGGGGTGCGGGAGCTGCCCTGAGGAGGCTGGAGGGCCGTCGTGTGAGGGGCTGCCTTGGGAGGGCTCTCCCTACGGGGACTGGGTTGTCCTGAGATGGCCGACTTGATGGGGGCCTTCCCTGGGGGCTGATGGAGACCAGGCCGGGAGGGCCGCGTGTGTCTGGGCCTCTCTCCCCCGAGGGGTCGTCTCCTGTGGGGGGAGTGTGGGGTCTCCCCCGAAGGCACCTGCCTGGAGGGGGATTTGGGGACTCGGATAAGGGGAGCCGTCATGTCGGGGAGGCCCGCAAAGAGGGCTGCGAGGGGCAAGCTCTGAGGGGGTCCCCGCTATTCCTGCTCCAAATGGTGTTTTATGCAACGCGGGAGAGAACTCCCCCGCAAGGGAGCCCGGCCGGCTGCACATTAATGACACGGCACCTCTTTTCCATTGACAGGGAAGCGAACAGGGCTGTTGGTTTTCTGCTGTTATTAACTACGGTGGTTCTGTGAAGTCTCTTGTGTCACATTAATCGTGTGGCCACTGTATGCTCTTAGTAGGCAGAAAGAAGTCAGGTTATTCTGGATAATGTTACCTGAAGTCTTTATAACTTTCTTTAACTCCTTCCCACGCTATGCAGTTCAAGACGACTGCTTGTTGATAAAGACAACATAGTTTTCTTTAACTGTGGAAAAGTACTCTAAATATAATATATTTCTGCAGCAGAAGAGTGTTGTTAGAACAAAAATGTCATCTAAAATGTGCACTGAGGAGTGAATTGTCTTTTAAAACCTTTAGATTCTGAAACATTTATGAAATGAGTAACGTTATTTGAACGATTTTTGCACCACCTGAACTTGTCAGTGATGTTGCATTCCTCTTGCAGAGGAATCTCTCTGGAATTTCAGTTACTGTTTGGTTGCAGATACAAGGGCTTCTGTTTGTGCAGCAGCTGCTCTCAAAACGTACAATGTTGAGCTTCCTCATAACTTGCTTTCACTAGTTTTTTGTGTGAGGTGCATACAAGTCTGCCAGCTTCCTTCCAACATGTTTCAAGGGCGTTGCAGAGCTTTTACCAGAGTCACTTGCTGGTAATGAATAGAAAACGCCAGCGTTTGCAGGAGTGCCGTGTTGTGGGAGAACTGGGTGGACAATGCAGCTTTGGTTCCATGTACTGACTCTGCGCCAACAGCTGCCGATGTTGAGAACTGGCTGATCAAGGCTAGGAAAGAAATTACTCACTCCCACTTAGCCAACTCTTGCTCTTGGCCTCATTTCCCAAGGCGAGGAGTCTTCTGTGACCTTTTAACTGGTTTTGTCCCTCCACAAAAACTTCTGAACCCTTGAGTTTTTGTACGCGGTGGACGTCTCGCTTTCTGCCCCTCAGTATTCTGTTCACTGTGTGACTTCATTGATCACAAACACCCAAAACTAGCTTGATTTTGATTTCTTGGCTGCTAGAAAGACTTCATATCTTTCTGATATGAAGGAGGTAGCAACCTAGTGGTGACCACCTGTGCTGTTTCTGGCTGTTGTTGGGGATGAGAGTGAAAATGGGGGGAAGCAGTGGTTATAGCACATAAGTTGTGAGTTGGAGGGGGGGGAAACATAACCTGGCTTTGTTAGCTCTGCTGATCATGTACCTGGTTGTTTTTCTACATACAGGCTATACCCACATCAGATCTATAGTCCTCCAGAAATTACAATAGTGACTTTCCTTTCAGCGTTCTCTTTATCTTGAAAAATGCACAAACATTTGATAGTTTGAGTTATAAATTGCACTCTGGAACCTCTGTAGTTATCTTTAGGATGATTGTTATTTACAGAGAGGAGAAAATAACGAAGCAGGGAGAGAAATTCAGGGTTTAGTGTAAATGTGATAAAGCTGAAATATGTTTAGGGTGCTCTGCTTCACATTCTTTAAGAAAAGGTTTCTTTTACCTCAACCATCAGCTGTTGCAACGTCCTGTTAGGGCAGGTCCAGAACCTTGTATTACCTACAGTGGGGTAAGTGCCTTGTCCAGAAGTACTCACTTTTTTGGGGCTGGTTTGCTTTTCTGCAGATGTGAGTCAGGTACCTTAGAATCCTCTGTTAGTTTATAACTCGTCTCTGCCTTTTTTTTTCCCCTACTCTCCTTGTTAGTCGCTTGTCTTGGTTGGAAAACTCCGGAGTTGGCTTCTCCTTGGATTATCCCACCATAAGTTTACATGCTGTCTCCAGGGACCTGAACGCCTACCCATGGGAGCACTTGTACGTCATGGTGAATGCCAAATTCGAAGGTATGCCTGGAGTGTTGCTTAGTGTTCCCACACAGTCCTAAGCAGCATTATTTCTTCTTCAAAGAGAGTAAATTTTGTTTTTAAAAATGATATGCTTCGTTCAAGTAATAGCTTGCATTTTCTTTTCATTTTCCCGAATGATAATTATTTTAGAAGTATAGCTTTGCCCTTGTTTAGAGTCACTTCTGTACTGTTCGGCTCTCAGCATGTGACTATGTATACCTGGAGCTGCTGAAAATTGGTTCTCTGCTCTCTTGTACTCATTTTAAACAATTTACTTCCTCTGCAGTCTGCCTGCGACTCCAGCTTAGGTATTGTTTTTGCTTTATTGAATTTATGCTAATGTTGCTACCCTCTCCAGGCT